TACTAGCTGGCTCCTAGCTACCTGTGTCACCTAGCTGGATAGATAGATCATTTGCATAGAGATGATGATTGAGCCCATGGGAACTGATGCAGATGCTAAGGGAGATAGTGAGAAGAGGGCCCAGGATAGACCCCTGAAGGACACCCATCATTCATGGGCATGACTTAGAGGGAGACTGAGGAGTAGCCAGAGAGATAGAATGAGAATGGAGAGGAGTATCCTGAAAACTCAGAAAGGAAAGCCTATATGGGAGAAGAAGGTGGTCAACCAAGTCTGAAGATTGAGAAAAGGCCTCTAGATTGGATATTAAAGAGCTCAATGATAACTTTGGAAAGAGCAGTTGCAGTTAAAGGATGAGAGCAGAATCCACATTGCAGAGGGTTTAGAAAACAGAGAGAGGAGAGGATATGGAAATAGTTTTAACATTTCCTTTTGCTTTTACATCACGTTCATTTCTCTTTAACCAATCTCCACCCCTCCACCCCAACATTGAACCTTTTTTCACAGCCACAGAAACAAAAACCTCCTGTATAAAATCAACCAGGATGGCAGCTGCATCTGCCTGTGCATACTGCACCTGGGAGCCATTATCCACCCCTACTTCTCTACCAAGAAGAGGATGGCATACTTCGCTTACAATTCTCTAAGACAAAAGAGATTCGTAACAATTCATCATAAGTAATTGCTTTTTACTGTTATCAACAGCTTTGGATGTTAAGGCCAACAGTGAGATCAAGCCAGAGACGGACCTCTAGAGGGTTGGGCAGAGTCTTTTGTGAGGATTTATGGGAGGTCATGGATAAAGATTCACAAAGGATGAGAAAGCATATGCAGGCTGTGATCCAGAAAGGCAGGGGAGCACACATGGATGAAATCATGTCTGCCTAGACATACCCAAGTGTAAATCTCATTGGTAAGAGCCCAGCTGAGGGTTTAAGGCAATTCAATGTCATCTCCAGAGTCCTGTTTTTGATATATTTGAAACCTTTCACATCTTTTGGTATGTTGACAGATGCTGTCTGATTGATGCTTATGTTTTGTTGCCTTGGCTTCTCTCAGGGAAGTATTTGGAACCTAGACTCCAGCCCAACTTGTTCATCCTTGGACTTAGCTCTTCCTACCCATAGGTCTACAAAGAGGCTGCAAACAAAATCATTTTAAATAACCCCAATATTGGAGCAGAAGTATGGAGCAGTGAATCAAAAGCTAGCTTCAGTATCTGAAAGACCTAGGTGCATATATTGCCCAAAATGCATAGTAGCTGTATGGCCTTGGACAAGTCACTTAACTTTTCAAGAAAACTTGCAAATCTTTTTTTTTTTTGGTAGAAGGACCTTACCAGGAAGCATAATTTCAATCTCCATTAGAGGTCATTTCTCCCTTTCCACTTTTTACCCCTCAAATCTCAGACTGGAAACAACCCATTGGGACCAGGTTCTATCTAATTCCCTGATACTAGGTTCATAATGGCTCACTTTTCATCTGCTATGGTTGTATTCACTGCTTCTCAGTCATGAAGGTTTCCTGAGGCAAGGTCAGACAAATGGCTATAGGAATAATGGAAGCTATTGGATCATAAAACTCACCTTGCCTTAAACAAACAGATAATACTACAGACAGAAAACAGTGGCTTCAGTTACTGAAATATTTCCCTTCCAAAAAAATTAATAATAGAATGCAAAGCCAAGGAAACATCACCTTATTCTTTCCCTTCATTCCCTGCTCACACAGATGGGGCTCTGGATTCAAATCTCTGCTCTGCCATTAATTATCTGTGTGCCTTTGGACAACTCACTCCACCTCTGGGGCTCAGCTTCTTCTTCTGTAAAATGAGAGGATTGGATTAGATGACCTCCAAGATTCCTTACAGACCTAAGTGCTATGGCCCTTTAATGTGTGTCCCCAGCTTTCCCCTAATAATGCTTCTTAGAACCTGGCTTTTCCAAGGTTAGTTCATGTACCATCACACCACGTTCCAGCCAAAGAGGCCACCTATTGTTCTTGCTGTCAGAATTCTTGCCTTCACAGGCCCTTCATGCTCAGAATGGCCTCCCATCCTTACCTCTGCCTCTTAGAATCCCATTTTATTCAGCGCTCAGCTCAAGAGACACCTACCAGGAGCTTAAGTGTTCTCTTTCTCCCTCAGATGATCATGTACAAAATTATCTGTTTATGTGTTCTATAAAGATGCATCCCACCCCCACTCCCATCCGCAACAGAATATAAGGTCCTAGAGAACAGTGACTGATTTTAATTTTACCTTTGTATTCCCAGCACCTGGCATAGCATCTTACACATAGTATGGGCTTAAATACATGTTTGTTGTATTGGCTGGAAGAACAATATTCTTAAGAAAGCAGATAGGGCTTGCAGCTGCCAAATCTTGTGCACCATAATCCCTCTAAACAATTTTTTCAGGTTGAGTTATTTGTAATCCACAACCTGAAAAGTGTGCCCCGTATTTGTTAGGGCTCTAGTTTTGACCCAAAATAGTAGCGTACAAATATAGATTATGCCTGGAAAAGGAGGTGGCCACATCACACAGCGAGAGGAAGGCATAGCAGATGGGCAGCCCCTGTCTGTGTGGGTGTCCACATGATGCCAAGAAACTGAGAGGAAAGCTCTAGCACACTGGCTGACTCCTCGGGGCACATTCACCACAGGACATGAACAAGCAACAGAGTAAGAAGACATGGGGAGATTGTGATCTGCACTGTTGGAGACTCCGTGTTAATGACAGCACAGGTCCATTGAAGAATGTACAGGAAGTAGGCATGAACTCTGTTGTTTGCTGTTCAGTCATTTCAGGCGGGTCTGACTCCATGATCCCATTTGGGATTTTCTTGGCAGAAATACTGGACTGGCTTGCCATTTCCTTCTCCAGCTCATTTTACAAATGAGGAAACTGAGGCAGAGTTATGGGACTTGCCCAGGGTCACATAGCTAGTAAGTGTCTGAGTCTGGATTTGAACTCAGGAAAATGGTTCTTTCTGACTCCCGGCCCCAGTGCTCTATCTAGCTGCACCAAGCACAAAATTAGGAATCCTTTTTAAAAAAAAAAAGGCCCAGTGTCTAATATATCATATCCAAAATGCAGTTGGGAACGTTTTGGGAGAGAACTGAGTTTGAATCTTTCCTCTGTGTGACCATGGGTAAGTCACCTATTTGAAGGGAAAGGTATACATTTTTTTTTCTTTTTTTGTGTGAGGCAATTGGGGTTAAGTGACTTGCCCAGAGTCACACAGTTAGTGAGTGTTATTTATGTGTCTAAGGCTGGATTTGAACTCAAGTCCTCCTGACTCCAGGGCCAGTGCTCTATCCACTGCACCACCTGGCTGCCCCAAAGGAATACATTTTCAAGCATGGCCAACATGAGAATTTTGCTAGACTGTGCATATTTATGAGGATTTTATTTAAATTTTTTTTCCATTGGGGAAATAGATTAAAATGCATGTAAAAAAACATTTAAAAAAAGTTTAAAGAAAGTCTTCATGTGTAAATTTCCTGAAAGACTAATAATAATAGTACCTACCCCATAGGACTGTTAGGATGATCAAACTGGCTAATGTATGTAATGTGTTTAGGAAACTTTAAAGCACTATATAATTATCAACTTCGCATAGTAGAGTGAGCATCAGACACAGAGTCTGGAGACCCTGTCCAAATCCCATCTTCAGACACTTATTAGCTGTGCAACTGTGGACAAGTCACAGCCCCTCGTTAACTTGTTTCCCAAGTTATAAAACAGGGATACCCTTCTGCTAAGCCTGTCTCTCATAGGTAGTAAGTAGCTCAATGAAAATGTCTGACAAATCTTAAATGTCCGTTTATTTCATTTTCTTGTATGAGGGGCCCACAGTGAAATCACACAGAGGAAGATGAAGTGGAAGGCAGCTCTCTATATTTAAGGCTCAATCTCTCCGTCCACATAGAACCCTTAGGGAACAAGCATTTATAAAGCGCCTGCTCTGCACCACACACTGTGCTAAGTGCTTTACAAATATTACCTCATTTAATCCTCACAAACCTGGGAGGCAAGTCCTATTATTATCCCAATTTTATAATGGAGGAAACTGAAGCAGCAGTTAAGTGACTTGACCAGGGTCACATAGCTAGAAAGACTAGATTTGAACTCCGTTCTACCCGACTCCAGGACCAGTGTGCTCTATGCATTCAATACTTAGCTGGCAGTGGAAAAGGAAGTTACAATGCAATTTTGTTCTCTTAAGACGTGTGTATGTGCTGAGGTTGGTGACTACACCAAGTATACTCCTCAGTATACTCATGGCAATAGGCCATGAGAAATATCTGCTGGTATTTATAGGCTAGGATGAGCCTTTTCTCAAGTTTCTTTAGTTACAGTGCACAAGCAACAGACTTCAACCTGCAGGATAATTTGGGAGTGGAGCAGAGGGCCAGGGGTAACTGGAATGAACACACCTTGGGAATTTTCTAGTCTAGTTTCTGATATGCTCATTGAAGAATTCCCAAATATACCCTTTTCAGTAAGATCCGGTCCGATATTATAACCTATAACAAGCTTAGATCTGTCATAAGCCCATGGGACATAATTATTTCCAAAAGCCAATTTTCAAAAGAAATGTACCATTCTATTTCAGAAAGGTGCATTATAAAATCACTTTGCATAAGAAAATCAAAGTAGATCCCAGCTTGCAGTTATTTTCAGCTCTTAATTGCCAGCTCTCGACTATTCTTTCCTTATTTTGTTAACTCAACATATTGTTCAATAGACTTTGGTTACAGGTTCAGTGTTGATCTTTTTTTGTGTTTAAAAAAAAACAGCTGTCTCCTGGAACAATGTATCGGTTCTAACAAGAACATAGCCGTTACTGGGAAATAAAAACAATCCAAACTTTCATCAAATTCCAACCATTTCAAGATCAAATTATGAATGATAGCTTGTCCATGTTACCTGTCACTTCCTTCCATTCTACCATGTCTTGAAGTGTGCATGCAAAATATTACCCAACATAATTCTCTACAGAGAGAATTTCCATTTATTTATTTATTTATTTATTATTATTATTATTTTTTGCGAACTCCATTTTAGAGGCAAGGGGTTAAACTGATTGAATTTTCACACGATTGAAATTATTGCTTAAAGTGCTTGGGTTGGTTACATTTTAAAAAATAAAAGTACAGATTATTTCAAATTAAAACTATAGGTATTAGCAACACAAATGGAAACTACATGGATACAGCAAATACTTCAGTTATGCAGAAACAGGAGGCAGAAATAAATTAATATAACACTGGAAAACAATTTACTGACGTAAATTGAGCAAGAAAAAAATATACCTATTTTTCCCTGACCCACATCATTTACAAGGGCAAATTATTTAGAATGGTGCCTATGAACACCTTGGTTACATAATAGCAAACAAGGGTAAAACATTGACTGCATGATATTTAATTTCACACGAATATACAAAGTTGAACAAAAAGTAACATTTGAAGATAAAATTCATCCGTGGTAAAATGTAAGAATCCATGTATCTAAAATAAGCCCTAAACCTCAGTTAGAACTTGGTTCACCATTATGCAGCTCCATAAAATTAAATGTATAGGGAATGTTTCTATTATTTTTCCCATCTTATCTTCAGCTGCCTCAGTCTAGCAAGCCCCAAATGGTGCCAGCCTCATTTTCAGACACACCTTCCTCTGGTGTTGTTCCTCACCTCTCCTTCGTTTCAGTTGCATTGAATAGCATCTCAAAATGAGGAATGTCTCGAGCAGAGCAAGACCAGAAGCTAATTGTCTCCCTATCAAAGTGCATTCTAAAATGTATCTTCTATACAATCTCTGAGTGAACCCCACCACATTCTAACTTTTAACTAGGAATTGATAAAATCAAAAGATTTCTTTTCTCCTTCATCAAGGCAAGATACAGGAGCTCCTTTTAAAATATAAACCAATAAGAACAATGCTGCAATGAAATTTCTTCAAGAGCCTAGCGAGCCAAACCCAGATGTAGATGAAAGCCACAGACTTGCACTAAGCCTCTGAACTCTGAATTTTTTAGGAGGTTTTTAAGATGGGCTTGATTGTTTTGCATCATCCTCAGGCTCTCTCATAATGGGAAGAATAAGGGGAAAAAATCCACTTGGGTGATGTCATCTTTAAACATAGTGGAAAGGCTTTAAAAAAAAGATTATAGCTGATCTCTTTATTACTAATGGAGGAGAAATGAAGGGGTGGGTGGGAAGGGAGGAGTGAGCAGACACAGACGTAAAATAAAGTAAATGCTGATCAAATTTTGATAGTGGGCAAGTTACACTAGTTCCCAACCATTTACTTGCACTAGCCCACATGTCTCTCTAATACCTTCCAAAATACCTTACAAATACCAGAAATCTGTTCATAAACTCTACATTTTCCTTTTTTTTTCATGAAAAAAATAAACTATCATAGTAAAAGTCATTGGGAAAAGCTGTTTGTAACCTCATGAAAGGTTAGACTGTAACCCTGGTTTAACATTTAAATATTGCTTCACTCATCATATCTTAATTCTTTACCAGTTTATAAACCTCTTCCTAGTAAATTGGACATTTATCTCCAAAAATCTATTTTAAAACAATTTTAATAATTTCTCTCACCAAAGTTATCATTCAGTCTCCCAGCTCTGATTGTATAAGGTATAGGTTCACTATACATTTCTTTAGCTTTGCAATCTACAGCCAAGCATCTGGGGTACATTAAGCACAGACATTCTCTCTCCATTAGTCACCTTCAGTCTGGAAAGTGCTCTCACTCACAAGCAGAGACCAAGATTCACCTGCCAAGCAAGTGATTGATGCATAACTTTAATGGAAAAAAAAGCGAGGCATGAATATTCAAAAATAGGAATTTGCCTCTAAACAAGGTAAGGCATTTTTTTACTCTCACCAAGGAAGGGGAAAATCACCCTGTTTTTGTCTTCTGATGGAAAGCTGAACATTTCACCTTTAGCATGACAAAATGAAGCATGTGGGATTACTAAGTCATTCTGAGTAATAAACAGTTCAAGGTATTTCAAAGATAAGAAATCCAGTTTCTCTCTGGTTAAAGTGCTATACTCCTTATGATACAAAATGGCAGCTCACCTTTCCAATTCCATTTCGAACCACATCATACCAAAGTCTTACAAATTCATGGATCATAAGGTACAAAATAATATCATATTCACAGTAGATAATAACATAGAGAAGTTAAGTGACTTCCTCAATAGAAGCAGAAATCCAAAATGAGAATTTCAGTCTTTGCTAAGAGGGTTGGGGGAGAGGAGGAAGGGAGAGAATGGAGAGAAAAGGAAAAGACAAAACCAGCTAAGGACAGAAAGGCAGTCGACCCTTTTAATGAAAAGTACTGAACTGTCATATGCTCTAATAAATATACATATATATAAAATAAAACAATGAAAATAAGTAAAAGTAAATATGTGTGAGATGAGGTTCTTTCTTAGAAATCTGTCTTGTCTAACAGCCTAAGGGCTGATTGAACCCAAGAAAATGTCCACCACTTAGTTCTCTTTTCCTCCTTCTATTGCCCTATTTACACTTCCTTGGACTTTGCCTCCTTCCTACTTAGATATTTCCAGTATTCCCCCTAGGGAACAGTTTTTTATTAGCCTTGACATTTGCCAGGGCTTCAGTAAACTAAGTGAAAAATAAAAATTACTAACAGTCACATCATGTGACTTGATAGCTGTAAAAATGTCATTCCCTGTTTAGTCCCATGACATAAGGATGATGCAGGTACTAAATGATTTGGGGAAACGGGGCCAGGTTTTGTTTTGTTTTTTTAAATTCCCACTACTGTAGGAAGTATTGAAGGATCAGCTGAAAAGTTACCCTGAAGATTAGTAGGGCCAGATACTACCCACAGGGCCTGATAAGAGAAAATTTTGGTGGTACTGAAACTTCATTAAGTATATTTAAGATAAAGACCTTAGCATTGTCCAGAAACTTCTCTCCTGTTTCTTCCTCTTTCACTTACCCTTAATGCCATACCTTTTTGGGCCCTTGAACTTTTAATGGCTGGTTCCAAAGCCTAAAGGGCTAACCCTAACTTTACCATAATAAGCTCTATATCCCACTCCCCTACTTTGAGGCTATTTTTAGTATTGAGGTTACTCACTTCTAAAAGTTTTTCAACTTAAAGCTAGAGTTTCAGCCCTGGAAGGGCATGAAATCTATCCAATTCTTTAAGCCTAACCTATAGAAAACTTGGCTTATGAGCTAAAAATGGAGAGCAATAGAGCCTCTGAGTTACACAATTAAGAGGAATGCATTGTAAGTTGACCCCTGAAGCCATTTACAAAGTTCAGTAAAAAGCCCCAAAAGAGAACATGGTCATTTGTAGAAAACATTACTCTAGTTCACTGGGAGGCAGCAGATGGCATAGTGTATACTCAATCCTAAAAATCTGTAAATGTTATTCATGTAAATCTTACTACAATTGGATAACATTTAATTCTACCTCTGACTGAAATAAAACCAAAAGTGCTGCATATCAAAATGGCAGGGGCAGGGGGCAGGGGAAGGAGGAGGAAGGGGACAACAGCCTAACATGGTTAGACTATTTAGGCTCAGGGTATGTCACTGGTGGGCCATTAAGAAGGAAGGTGATTGATCTGCGGAGAAGCCAGGTCATAGTGGGCTCGATTCCATTTTCCCACTTAAAGCAGTTCTACAGTTCTTCAAGTCATTCTCTTGATTGATAGAATAAAATATATCCAGACTCAGAATTTTTTGATATATCTGATGTCAGCCCATAGAATTCTTCAATAGCTTGAGCATCTATTTTCTTTGGGTGGAATGAAGGTGAGATAGAAGAGAGAGAGAAAAAAATTAAAATGAACACAACTGTTCAAAATGTTAACTGGAAGAAAAATAATACAAACATATTACAAATTATATGTTATATGGTAAAAATGTCTATCATTACTTTATACATCATAAGGTAAAAACATCTATCATTATTTGCCAATGCGTACTTAGAAAATCTTCACAGTCAATGGATGATTTCCCAGTTTAGATAAAGATTAATTGCAATTAACTTGACTATTTCTTTCTATAAAAGAGATAAGCAACTCATAGAGCCAGAACCCAATCCAATATCCTAAGTTTTTCTAATAGTAAAGAAAGGGGCAGGGGGGTTGGAATAGAGATCAACATTAACTCTTTCTGATTACCAAGGCTCCATTTAATGCCCTGAAGAATAATCTAATAAAACACTCCCCTAGCAATCTCAAATTTAATGTGTCCCTCAAGCATGGAATTTACTCCTATAAATCCCTTACTACATAATCATTACACAGAAAATGTCCCTATAACAACAACAACAAAAGATCCGATGGTCCCAGCTGATGGTCCATTTAACTTAATAATTAATACAATGAAATTCTAGTATATGAAAAATAGTTTGGACAGACCTTTGAAGTTTAAGGGTATTTGGACTGTACCAGAATGCATTTTGTCCTACTTAAGAATACCATCTAGACTGCTCATGTCCATAGCCAATTAGTACAGTTGACTATATAATACTAATGAGGTCAAGATCACAAGCTGGATCAAAGCTCAGGTCAGTTAGCTTTATTTGGTTTCTTTGCTACAGACAGTAGTCCTAACCCTTGATAGCTGTTCTGAAAATTTGTCCCCCTTGGCCTAAAGTAGATTCTAGGTGAGGGAATATTAAGGTATCAGCAGAAATCCATCACTTCTATTGGAAAAATGAGTTAAAGTGAATGTCCCACCCAGTGGTGCCAGGGGCCATTAGTATCAGCTGATTAAGAGATTGTTCATTCATCAAATTATTTCCACCAACATTTTCTGTTATGGCTATGCAACAATGATGCTAAAAAGGAAAATTATCCTTATGTTATGAGCATTCTCTAATAAACCTGTTACAAAAAGCACTTTTAGGAGTTAAATTTTATTATTGCCTCTTCAAACTTCTATTCATTCAGTGTTTTCATTAATGTGTTGTCCTCTAAGTAGTTTCAAGTAGTTAAGTCCTATCTTCCAACTTGATCAGGGTGAGAACCAAGTACCATCCTACTTTTCTGTCCCTTATGGTGCCCAGCAGTGTGCTTGTTGGACACAGCAGTCACTCAATGAATGTTTGCTGAATTGAATTAACGTTCACTTTTCATTGCAATAACCAAGGATTTCAAAGACTATTTGAATCTCAAACTTCTGTCCTGAATTGCAAATACAAAATTTGGGGATCCTCAATTTGAAAGTCAAATGTTCTTAACTGTCAGATTCCTTACATAGAAAGAGAGGCAGAGAAGACAGAGACAAAGAGAGAGAGAAGGAGAGAGAGGGAAAAGGGGGGAGAGAGAGAGAAAGAGAGAGAGAGAGCCCTACACAAAGAAACAGAAAAAGATGTAAAGAGAGAAAACCTCTTCACTACCACAACAGTCTTCATACCGACCTCTACAATGTCATCATCAAATAAGAGCCAGAAGCCATGACTCTTCACGATAGTAATATAATGCCCGCGATTAGGTCCACTGAAAAGAAAATGACAAAGAATTAGCTGTGATTGGAAGAACATTTTTCCTGTTTCATGCTTCTATTTCTCTATGACTATTATATGCTTTTATTGGATTTGTGCAAGTGAAAAGCCTTGATTTAATTTTAGATGTGCTGTCTAAACTGGAAAGCTCCATTTCCCCTGGGGTTTGTTCAAAATTACATGAGATTATGCATGTCCTAGGAGAGCACAATGAGGCTTAGGGGTCCCCTCTGATGACTTCAAAAGACTATTGACGTTAATAACATTTCTCTAGAGAACTAGCAATCCAGCTGACCCCTGGAGCCACCTATACTGAAATCACTGGCCAAAGACAATTCCTTAGGAATTTATGAAGTTTCCAAAAACTTAGATTTAGTGAAAAATGGAGTAACTGGTACAGAACTTTATGGTGTGAATCTTAAGATGAAGCTGTCATTACTACTTCCTCAAATGGTACTTTGAATACTGCGGTGATAGAAGTTCAAATTTGGTGTTTTCAATATTACAGAATCCCAGGGTTGATAGAAACTTCAAAAATCACCTAGTAATGCTGATGAAAATATACCTCAAAAACACAAATGGATCACTTCCACTTTATGCTGTTTGTTGCGCTCCTTCTAGTTTTGTTTATAAGTGCTCTCTGTATTATCTGGCTCAGCTGGATCTCTTCTAAACTCTACAATAGGCTCATCATCATCAACGACTTTTTCACTGATTTGTGATGTTTTAATGCTCATGGTCTTCTGTAGTCCTCCTCTGTAATGTTCAGATTGAACACTCTATACCAGAGATTGTTAAGTATTTTGGATTATGTACCCCTCCTCTGGTGAAACCTAATAATACACTGTGATCTCCTGCCTACATTCATACTTGAGGCAAAATGCTGGTTAGAGGTTAGCAAAAATAAAGACACAATTTTTTTTTCCCATTCAAGTTTACGAATTCCCTGAAATTGGCTTCATGGACTCCATGTGAAGAATTTCTGCTCTAAACCATTAGTGTCCTCAGGTGTCGTGTCTCTGCCTGGCAAGCCCATATAATATCTGCCAGCCAAGGATGTATTTGAGCTCTTTTGGGCCACTTGTTGTGATGACGATTTTCCTTTGCTTCAAGTTTTCTCTCCATCTTTCCATTTAGTCACAAGTTCTTTGTGTCTTCTGTTTTCATTTATAGTGAGAATGTTAATATAGGTATAGGTTATATCTTTCAGTAGCATGTCAACATACCATTTCCTGGACAAGTCACATGTGAAAAGGGTCACAATTAAATTAAATTTGCACTAATTCATTGTATTAATTGTTTGCAAATGCTCTAAAAACTGAGATTCTTGCACTCCCTGGTGAGTCCATCAGAAACTACTATGTTATATATGGCATAGTTTAAAGAAAATTTTGGCATATACTTTTTTCAAAAGAAATGAGCCAAATCAAAATTGCCCCAATGGAGAAAATTAATTAAGTGGATTAATATTTTTAATCTTTCTAGATTTTTGTTATCTTGAAGAATAAAAATGTATTTGCTCATTCAGCTTACTTGGTGGAAGAAGCCTTTTACAATCTGGTGGCCCTCTGAAAATAGGTACCAACCTTTCCTATATAGGTCAGTGGTTTTCTTCAAGTTCCACTCCAAATTTCCTAGACTGTGGATTTTTAACAGCCTTTCAAAACATGAGTAATGACCATGGGAGGTACAGTGATTCTGCCCTTTACCTGCCACAGTGGACTACTACAGCCACCAAGTCATACATGCGGTCCAGATTCACAGCATCACTGGATGTATTGAACAGACGTAGCTCCAGTGGGAAGACCACACGGTACGAGAGCTTGGTATATCTGTGGAGTTGTTCCATATATTTGAACCTCTTAAGATGTAATGCCAGGATCATTGGAAGCTTTTTTACTCTCATCCTAGGAAGTCATAAATAAGTTGTCAGTCAAGCCTTATCCTTTCTTGGGAAAAAAAGAGCACATTCTGTTTTCTGTTTTGGCTCATGGAGGGTAGCCATGGCCCTGGTAATCTAAAATAGCAGGTACTAAAACAAAAAATTTATAAACTATTACCTCACTTATCTACTAGATATCATCTTGTAGAGTAACATCAACTATCCAGAAAATGACTGAAAAGATCTCTGAGCAACCAAAATGATTGGCACAAATCTGTTCCCTAAATACAATTCACATACTTAATAAACAAAACCAGTTCAGGACTCAGGTCTAACAAACTTGGTTATCTGGTTTCTCTGCCCACAACAGATTAGAATCATCAAATTAAAGGTGAGAGTCATGTGCATTGCTCTAGAGGGGACATGGCTAACACAGGACCCAAAGTTTAGAGCTGGAAGGGATGTTAGAAGCCATCTAGCTTAGACTTCATCTTGCAGATGAGAAACTGAGGCCCAGAGAGGTGAGGTGACATGCCTGGTCACACAGGCAGTAAGTAACAAAACCCAGGCCCTCAGATTCCAAATCCAGGTTTCTTTTCCATTACACTACAAGGCTTCCCTCCTCGAGGCAGGGGAAGAAAGAGTGAGAGAATGAAGAAGGCTCTGACTATCTCACATAAATCATACATCTCCCTATGATAATAGTCATTGCTAGCTTCCCTTTAATGAAGTCTTAGTATACATTCTGGTGGCAATATCAGTGATGAAAACAGAAGCTAGCCCAACAGGTAGAGTGCGCCTTGTTTCCACCCTTGAGTTAATAAGAGGGTTCACAGATATGCCTCTGCCATGTGCTAGTCTTGCATCTTGGTGTGGAACGGAATTCCCTCAGTGTGAAGAGGGCAGGCCTGATCACCCTGTCCCTTTGGCTTTCAACTTGAATCTTCCATTTAATTCAGCTACTCTCAACCAAGAATTCTCAGTTCAGTGGCAAGACGTGACAGCCAATAGGGAAGAGAAGGAAAAATTACAAAAAGCAGAAGTGAGAACCTAGCTCCTGAGGGCATTATATTATTATAGCAGAGTGGCCAACAACTCAAAATAACAGAGATGGGGAAACCTTAAAGATTCCATTCCAACTCTTCCATTTAAATGAAGTGGAAATAAGTTTAGTAAATCAATCCCGATTCCAGTCTAGTACTCAAGTACCACAATAACAAACACTCATAATAACACCCCTGGAATTATCAAAGTGAGGTCAAATTATGTTCAACAAATGCTATTTAAAGCATGGAGAACTATGACACTTTCAAATAAGTAGCACGAAAGGGTTAAAATGAAACTTTTTGTGCTATGCTAGGAGTATCTTCAGATTTCTACACAACTGATGTATGTCACTCTCTGGAAATACTGGATGAAGTGCTACTGATTTTGGTTTGTGCTCATAAAGTTTTAGAGCTGGAAGGAACCAAGGAGATCACTTAGTTCAGTCTCCTCATTATATAAATAACAAAACAGGCCCAAAAAGATATTAGGTGACTTGTTCACAATCACATAATTCATTAACGACTAAGCTGGGATTAGACCCCAGGCCTCCGGACTACTCTTCCAACACTACTACTCCAAAGCCCATGCTAGGCTTCCTCTACTACACCTCAGCAGAATTCACTTCTTAGGATAAAACTAAAATTCACTCGTGTGTTCAAGTAACACACCAACTAAAGGTTTTGTAGATGAACCAGAATTAAGTTACATGGAGGGGGAAACCAAGACAGGGGTCCCAAATGTGCCACAGTAAAACTAGTTTGGATAAGCCAGGCATGGATGAGTGACATCTTCACCCGTCATAGTAAAAAAAAGTGGAAAGTTCAGAAAATGTTCTAAATCATTCAGTTAAAAATCTCTTATTTCTCAGTTTTTATTCTACTTCACTGTCTGACCAGGTATCCTTTGCTGGACCGTCATCCATCTTTCTCCCATCCATTAAGTGAGTGTGTCCCAGGGCTTAGTTCTGGGCCCTTTTCTCTTTTTTCTCTATATCATCTTGGTGACTTCATGATCACCCATGAGTTCAACTAATTGGTACATAAGATTTGGGATGTAAATGATGATCCAGAAAGGGAGACTTGACTTGAACTGGTCATACAGGTGGGAGAGAACAGTATAATGAAAACCAAAAAAAAAAAGAGCATCCAGTAGTGAGTGGTCAACAGTGTGAAACAGGATGAGGAGTGAGAAAAAAGCCACTGAATTTGGCAGTGAATGGTTATAAGTAAGGTTATTAGTAACCTTAGAAAGAAAAGCATTAGTCAAGTAGTGGCATTCAAAGCTAGTTTGCAAGGGCGTGAAAGGTAAAGAAGAGAAAAGTATTAAATGTTCTAGAGTGTCCAAGAGGGAAAGTAAAAGACCAATGGTTAGTTGATACAAAGAAGCACATTTTGGCTCAACATAAGAATCATCTAATTTTATAGCTTTTCAAAAATGGGACAGGATGTTTTACAAGCTAGAAAGGTTCCTATTATAGGAATGGGTCAAGTAGAAATTTGACATCTCCATGTGTTGAGAATATTATAGAAGGGGTTTCTGCATCAGGCAGGGGTTTGCATGTAAGAGAAATGATTATGAATAACCAACGATTTGGGGAGATTCAGATTTCCCCCTTTTCTTAATCCTCATTTCAAGACCTCAGTCTCTGAAGCTAACCTTCTCCTCTACCCATAACCTGCCCAGATGGGGCAGCTACCGTATTTTACTCAGGTTTGAGTGGGGGAAAATGTCTCCTCTAGAGACATAATCAAAGTTGAAGTCCTGGGCCATCATTGTAATATTCATTCTCTGGTTGTTAACCAATCAGAGTTGATGGCCAACCTGGGGAACACTCGCTCTTTGAAGGGTATAAAAACTGTGAGCCTGCCACCATGATGGTCTTTGGTCTAAGGGAGAGACAGTCAAATGCCCATCCTTTTATTAAAATGCTGGCATAATTAATAAAATTATTAAATTACCCAGAAATTATTTCTCTCAAACCTTTTTAAACGCCACACCCAGTTGCCCTCTCAGGTCACTTCCAAACCTGAAATTCTACAAGCCCTGCCACCTACCACCTCCATGTCTAAGGCTGTGGACTCCCAGCCCCTTCCCACTCTGCAATGACATTCCCACTCCCCATCAGATGAAGACCCACATCCCCTATCTCTAAAGAACAAGGCCAACTTAGAAGGTACATCTGAAGTTTCTACCCACCTTTTCTGGGCCTCCTGTTTACTGCAGCAAGTTTCACAGTAGTATTTCTGTTCACTACACAGTGTCTCAGTGTTACTGAAGTCTCTGTAGAGAAACATAATCTCATTTTTAAAAGGAACCAGGATATATTTTGTTTACTCGATCAAAGACATTTCCTCTGTCACACTGCAAAATCCTTTGTAGCGTACAAGATGATTTGTGATCTGAATGTAGAAAGAAAAGTAGAAGACTTTTGAAAAAAATAAAAAGTTGAACTCTGACTTCTTTCATTTGAGGCCTGGAGATAATGTTCACAGCATTGTTACTTCCATTGTTTGGGCTATTATTTCACCAGAAAAAAAAAATTCAAACAAGAAACATTGAATGGATCACAGAGCTACAACCTTAAATCTCCTAATGATTCAAAAAAGTCCAATGTTCAACAGAGTGGACTTGTAATGGAAGATCAAACAGACACACAAGAGTCATATTACTGTTCTGCTTGAAATGTTTTCTTCAGGCTTCCCTTTTCAAAGCTCTTTTTAAAACAGTTCTTAAAACATCACTTGAGGGAATATCTGGGAATACTATTTTTAGGCTATTGACAACAGCATTTAGCATCTTGAAGAAGATGCAGACTAACAGGGCAGTTTTGTTATTTTTGTGTTAAATTTAATATTTTCTCTCTCTCTCTCTATATATATATATATGTATGTATATATATATATATGTATGTGTATATATATATATGTATGTGTATATATATATGTATGTATATATATATATGTATGTATATATATATATACATATATATATACATATTTATACATAAACAGAAGTCTGCATACCCCTCCTTTATTTTCTTCTTAGTATATTGAAATGTTTATGTTTATTAAGATCATAATAAAAATGAAAAATATTTTTAGAGGTAATGTTTGTTTCTATGAATCAATGATGCAGAAGTGAAGTGAGTCAAACCAGGGAAACATCACACATTAATAATAAGAATAGATAACATTTATAAAGCATTTACTATGTGATAGGAACTGTTCTAAACATTTTACAATCATTATCTCATTTGATCCTCAAAACAACCCTGGAAGAGAGATGCTATTACTATCCCCATTTTACAGATGAACAAAAAGAAGTTAAGTGGTTTTTTCAGAGTCATACAGCTTAGTAAGTGTCTGAGGCCAGATTTAACTTGGGTCTTCCTGACTCCAGACCCAGCACTCTATTTACTGTGCAATCTAGTTGCCATGACTACAACAAATGGATAGAAGAACAAAGCTGAGCACTGTAAAATTGTAATGATCAAGTTTGATCCCAGAGAAGAGACAAGAAAATGCACTTCCCTTCCCAGCCTCATCCCTATTTCCCTGCAGGGTTGGAGGACTACAGATGCAGATATTGCATACTTTCAGACTCTATTGATGTACTATGCAGCTTCTGCTGTCTTTTTCCTACAGCTCCCATCACCCACTTCCTTTGTATTCCTTGATTCAAGGGACAGGGTTTTCCTTCTTTCTGAGTAGGGGAGTGGGAAAAAGGTGTATTTAGAAATACCACATATATCTTTGCCCCTGGTACCCAGATCTCAGGTTATACTTATTAATACCATTAGTAACAGTTCTGCTATATTCTGGGCTAAATAGGCTTTGGTGATCTAACTAACATAACCCTTATTTAATGTAATGTTTCTATTGCAAAAGGTGCGACAAGTCCAACAGAGACAGGATTAAAACTCATCTCCTAATTCTAGGCTTGGACTCTTTAATTAAGATACCTTCTGTCTACTGAACACAGCACACAGAACATATATTGCAAATAATGAACCTATTATAGAAGGCAATTAGCAGGAGGTTTGTGGGAAATGTTACTTTGTAGTTTACAAAGTGACTGATTCAGAACCAGGAAGTCTTGGGTTCAAATATCATTTCTGACACTTCCCACCTCCGTGACCATTTCACTTAATCTGAGTCTCAGTTTCTCTATCTGTAAAATGAGGCTAATAACACCTCAGTGGATTGTTCTGAAGCTAAAATGAAATAACAGAAGAAAATACCTTGCAAAATTTCTTCACAAATTTCAGTTATTTTTGAAAAGTTATGTAAGTAATCATTATCTGAAGGGTACAATTTATACAATAACATCAATCTTGTAAAATTGAACAACTCTGAAAGACTTAAGAACTCTGATCCATGATTCCAGAGTACTAATTATGAAGTGAAGTGGCAGGGAGAGAAAAGGAATGCTTGCTAATTGAAAAAAAACATTGACCAAAAAATGCCAAAAAGAAACACAAACAAGCGAGACAGCTTTGAAAATGACATGTATAATTAATTATATATTTAAAAGGAAAAGCAAGCTATAAGTAATAATAGAAATTCACAATTTCACATATAATCCTTTTTCTGTTCTATGTCACTGAGTGGGCTTTGTCTTGTGTTCCTTGAGTCTATAATGATCACTTCTGGAACTATGAAACATGTTTTGTTTCATCTGTGCCTCCCCTTTCCTTCCCACCTCTCCCTGCCAATCTAGATTTACTTGCCTGGCTAAACACCTGAGAAGAATGGACAGGAGGTTTTTTTGTGTCTTTATTTTTTTTAATGAATGAAGGAATGAAGCCTATGTCCAGTAGTATAGAGGTCTTGATTCCCCAGTGAGTATTAGTACTTCTGAAAGAATACTAGCTCTGAGGGTGACAGATGAGGAACACAAAGCTCCTTACTCCTTAATGAAGAATGGTCTATGAAAGCAATGCTGAAATTAGCTATTAAATACTTTGGAGAGTAGAGGAGGTCCAACCCCTTGTACTTTTTATTTTTTAATCAAAGACATTCTCAGTTCAGAAAAAGTGTGGGCATGATAATAAGGAAGACCCTTCAAGTTTTTTAATATAAATGAGGTCTCAATAAACACAAGTGAAAATAAAACACAAAATAGAAATGAAGAGTCTATCTGCTTCTCTAGCTTAAACTTAGTTTCTCCAAGTGGGGCAGTGACCGTCAGGGAGGTTCCAAGGAATTTGCAGAGTTCTGCAGTAGTTTGGTGGTGATATTATACTGAGGACGAACTGCGAATTTCCAGTCCACTTCCCAACTCCTCCTCCTAAATGATCTTAGGAACACAGATAAGAGATGTAGTGCTGGAAAGGGACTTTAGAGGTCATGTAGTCCAATTGCTTTATTTTGCAGCTGAGAGAACTAAGACCCTAAGAGATGAATGCTTGGCCCAAGGTCACACAGGAAGTAAGAAGCAGGAGACGAACCCATCTTCTGACTCCAGAGTCAGATTTTTCTAGTCTGATCACACTTCCTACTGACCACAAGACTTTCTCCTGACCACCCTGCCTCACATCTCTCCCTGGAGCCTATGACTGGTTCTAAAACTGCTGAAGCTCTATAACTCTGGAGACTGAGAGCATGTGTTTGTACAGGAGCAGGTAGGTTTGCTTGTCAATAGGTAAAGACAGGGCATAAGAAACATGATCAAATTCCTGGGAGAGGGAGGAGAGCTGTAGGGAAAGGAAAGATTTCAGAGTCGATTCGTTGGCCTGAACCATGCCAGATGAGAATCTGAGCTATTTTTAAAGGCATTCAGAAAAGATTCCACAATAACCCACTTGAACATTTAGTAAGTTTTAACAATTCCAGATGTTATAACCCCTCTTTCTCAAGCACGGCTGACCAACAGGGGGCACAGATACATTTTGCATGAACAAAGTGGAAGAATGTACAAAAGTTTCTCTGAGTACAGTTTCTTCTCTAGGAGTCCTGTTAATGATGAAGTCAAGACAATTTAGAGCTGTGTGCCCCAAAGCATTAAACTGTGACCCAGCGATACTTCTACTAGGTCAGTACTCTAAGGAAATCAAGGGGAAAGGAAAGGGACAATTCCTAAACACAAGAATGTTTACAGCGTCTTATTGCATTGTTGTTATAGCAAAGAACTGGAAACTAAGGAGGTGCTTATCAACCGGAGAATGGCTGAACAAACTGTGATACATGAATATAAGGAAATATTCTATTATTGCACTCTAAGAAATGAGGAAAGGGAGAGTTCAGAGAAACCCAGGAAGACTTACAGGAACTGATGCCCAATTAAGTGAGCATAACCTGGAGAACAATTTATACAATAATAATATTGTAAAGAAAAACAAGAAAGACTTAACAACTGTGTTTGATGCAATGATCAACTAAGAGGCTGGAGCACACACTGATGATTAAATATGCTACCAGCCTCCTTACAAAGACATGATGGGCTCAAAATCCAGAATGAGACATACATTTTTGGACATGGGCAATAGAGGATTTTGTTCTAACTATTAATATTTGTTACAAGTGTTTTGTTTTCATTTTTTTTCAAAAGAAGGGCAGGAGAGAAAAGAGTGATAGGGTTGTCAAAAAATAAATAAATAAAAGGTCACTGAAGCATTTTTAAACTATACAAGAACCAAGAGACTAATTTATAAAATCACAACCTTGTGAAAACAAACTCTGAAAAACTTTAAGAACTCTGATCAATGAATGCAATGACCAAGAATGATTCCAAAGGATTTGCGAAGAACTATGCTGCCTACTTCCTTACAGAAAGAGAATGGATTCACAATGCAAAATGAAACACATTCGGGAACGTGATCAATCCTGGAATTTGTTTTGCCTGACTGTGCATATTTATTGCAAGAGTTTTTTCTTTTTTCTTTTTTTTCTCCCAGTGGGGAAGTTGGTATGAGAGAGAAAATAAATGCTAATTAATTGGAAAAAACAAAATTTAACAAATAAAATATACAAAGGAGAACAGATGGAATGCCAGTAAGAAATACAGACAAGAAGAAAACAGAAAGACAGCCAGAAGAAAAGGCAGATAAGTAGGCCATCTCTGAAAGTGACATACTGAATTTATTTTATATTTAAGAGGAACAGCACTCTACATGCTAGCTTCATGTACAATCCTCTTATTCTGTTTACTCTGTATATGGAAATGGTAATTTTAGTATTTGTTTAGTCCAGAATTTTTTTAAATCACAAAGCCTTACTCAGAGTCATCGAACTGGCTGCTACTGCTATGCCCCACCCCTTTCCATAATTCACACAAACTCTAATTGGGGAGTGAAGCAGAGTTGGCAGAATCTTTCTTTCCTGGTCATCAGCTCATACTATTACAAAACCTTCCCCCAGTCCCCTGGCAATCATCAAGTGTAATACTCCTTTACCAGGCATTCAAGACTTTCCAATCTTCTAGTCTAGTCTATCCCACAGTATTCCCTTCACAGTTTACGCGACAGCAAACCTGGTAGTCTTACATTCTCTGTTTTTGTCCCAATCTAACAAATGTCCACAACTTTGCTCACTTGGTTCCCTTTGTAGGTCAGTGAGTCAGTCAACATGCATTTACTAAATGCCTGCTATAGTTCCCTGCCAGGTCCATCTGTTGGAGTTGCTCAACTCAAGAGCCCCCCCTCCTCCATGAAGCTTTCTTGATGCCCCCACCAGAAAGTGATCTATCCAATCTGACATTTTTTATAGCCTATAGGGTCTTTCCTTAAGACTTAGCACATTTTGCCTGATATCAGTTACTTGTATAGGAGACTTGTCACCCTCTTAGGTTGACGACTCTTTTGAAGGCAGGATCTAAGTTATTTCATCAAATTCTCTGTTGCCTGATCTCATTTGGCTCTCTTCCACCATCAAGCCTTTGCTCACAGTCTTCTATTCCTGAAATGGGCTCTCTATCCATCTCCCTTCTAGGCCCAACTCAGTTGCTACCTTCTCTATAGAGTCTTCCCAGCCTGTTCTCCAAACCCTCTGGGGAGAATAGGCTCTCCTTCCTATGTCTCAGAGCACTTCACCCAGACCTCCCCCCCTCCCCTCTGCATTTCTCTCACTCCTCTAGATACTCCTGTGTATGCCTTGCCCACCTCAGAATACTACATCCTTGGGGGGGGGGGGGGGAAGAGAAAAGAAAGAAGGAAAGAAAGAAAAAGAAAGAAAAAAGCATGGAAAAGAATACTTTTTTAAAAAATGAATGGGATGGCATTGCAAGCTATCCCTTTCCACTGATCGCCATATCTGTTTTTATGTCTGTTTGTGTCTATCTCCCAGCCCTGTTCCTAACCTACTCTAGACTTTAAAACCATGCCCATTCTATCACAGACTTATCTTGGAACTTCTCTCAGCACCTAGAATAACCAACTGCCCCCTCATGCAGCCCATCCTCCACAGGTATACCCCTCCACAATATGTCCCTTGCCTTCTCTCATTGGGGAGTTCTTGAAACAGAGAGGCCCAGGACCAGTCTGCCTCCATTCCACTTCCAGCCCAATTCCTGACTTTCTCTGGACTTCACACCATGCTCAGCCCTGCTCAGGTACCTTCATTTGCTCCTTTCCAGGCTTTTCAGTTGTCTATTATGTGAAGTCTTCCCCAGTCAGAATGTACATTCCTTGAGGGTAGAGACTTTCTTTTTTTGTTTGTAATTTTATTCTCAGCACTCAGCAGTGTCTGACACAGAGCTAAAATTCTTCCTTCAATTTCTTCCCTTCCCTTCCTTCCTTCTCTCCTTCTTTTCCTTCCCTTGCATCCCTTCCTTCCACAAAACCAATATATTTACACAATTGTGATTAAAATAAGCAAAAAGCATACATCTCATACTTTAGGGCTTTAACAGAATATCAAACATTTAAAACTTTAAAAAAATTTCTAGTATTTCTTGCTTTTGCTCTCTATAGATCTCCTCTTCCAATGTTTACTCTTATTTACTTTCAATCCATTCCAGGAGGGAAGGAAGGCAATGAAATGACAAATTTGAGAAAAGTGGGGCAGAAACATCTCCTGAACAATGGGAAGGAATCTTTGGGGTTTTTTGTGTATCACTAAATTAACCCAAAAGGTATAAATAGGATGTGACATAGTCCATTTACCTTAGACAGTGTGTGATTGATGTGTTCTGTTCCACATCAACAGAAAGGTCAAGAAAATCTTCATCTTTGCTACTAACCTGTAGTAAGAAAAGAAACATATTAGGTCCAAAGCTACATAATGGGTAAGGTTTTTAACAGTCAAGTTTTACTGCAATTATTCACACCATAACTACCAAAATCACCACTACCGAGTTTTAAAGGAGTTAAAAGAGAAGTTTAGAATGAAAAAAAAACACTCTGCAGATAAATCTCAAATTCTTCTTTCACTACATAGTTTAAATCTCTGATGCAGAATTTATAACTGCAACTCAAGCTACTCACTGCTTTTTTAGATCCTTTTGCTCTCCCTGTTCATGTTCATATGGAGGTGACAGAAAAGCACTAAAATGACAGAAAAACTAGCAGTTGGCAGGATGGGTAAAATGTAGAACAAGTGGCTTAGGGACCCCCTCCCCCACCCCTTTCAAATTCAACATTGATTATGTACCTACTATGTACTAGGTCTTGGGAACACAAAAATGAAAATGATAGTGTCTGTTCTCAAGATGCTGAGGATCTGCTGAGGAAGTTAGAATTGTACGCAAACTACACAGAAGAACCTGGACAATTACAGGGGCAGTTTGCTGCAGTAGGTAAAGAGCAGGTCTTGGAGTTAGTAACATATGAAATAGAATCCTTTCTCAGACAGTTAAAAGATGTGTAAGCCTGGATAAGCCCCTTCACTGCCCTCTGCCTCAGTTTTCTCATCTGTAAAACTATCATAATACCTCAGAGTTGTTCTAAGGATCAAATGATATAATTATGCAAAGTGTTTTGCGAGCCTTATCATGTAAATTTCAGTTGTTTATTTTTATTATCATAGAAGTATCTTCTGTTACTCATTGAGACCTAGCTCCGTCCTGTTAACACTGACATCTGGCCATCCTTTCTAGTGCTGATTAAAAATAGGTGCTTAACTACAATGTCTTTTGAATCAGATTTCAAACTATATTACAAAGCAGTAATCATAAAAACAATCCAGTGCTAGCTAAGAAATAGAGGGGTGGATCAGTGGAATAGATGAGGTACAAAAAACACGACAGTAAATAACTGTAGTAATCTAGTGTTTGATAAAGCCAAGGATCCAAGTTTTGAGGGGTGAAAATTCACCATTTACAAAAAAAATCTGGGAAAACTGAAAAGAAGCTTGGCAGAAATTAAGTGCAGACTAACATCTTACACTATATACCAAAATAAGGGCAAAATGGGGAAAGGACCTATTTGTACAAAAATATTTAGAGCAGCCCTTTTTGCAGTGGCAAAGAACTGACATTGAGGGGATGCTCATCTATTGGGGAATGGCTGAACAAGGTGTAGTATTTGATTGTGATGGAATACTATTTTGCAGTAAAAAATGATGAGCAGGATGGTTTTAGAAAACCTGAGAAGGCTTATGTGAACTCATGCAAAGCGAAGGGAGCAGAACCAAGAGAACATTGTATACAATAACAGCAATATTGTAATGATGATCAACTGTGAAAGGCTTAGCTACTCTGATCAATACCATGATAAAAGACAGTTCCAAAGTTCCAAAAATGCTATCTACCTCCAGAAAGAGAACTGATGAACTCCTGAGTACAGACTGAAGTATTTTTTTCACTTTCTTTATTTTCCTTGAGATTTTTTTGAGTATTTCCTATTGCGACATGGCTAATATGGAAATATGTTTTGATATGATAATGGATGTCATATTGCTTGCCTTTTCAATGGGAAAGTAGAAGGAGGGAGGGAGAGAATTTGGAACTCAAAATTTTTAAAAATTAATATTAAAAAATTTTAAATGTAATTAAGAAATATTTGATGAAATAAATAAAAATATATTTATGGTTTTTTTTAAATGTCTTTTGACTGGCTGCACTTTTATTCATGCTACCAGACTCACTGGTCATGCTGGGGAAGTCAGAATACTCCTCTCTCTTCATTATCACATCTAGACAATCCCTCTACCACCATCACTCAATCCAAATTTGTCATACAATCAATATTCTGGTAGCTATTATCTACCAATCCCCAAAATATTCTCCTTCCTTAATGAGTTGAATGTCTGGCTCCACCTCAACTCCTCTCCTCTTATTAGAGGACTCCAAAATATATAGATTGTTGATGTTTAGTCATTGTTAGTTATGTCCGACTCTTCATGATCCCTTTTGAGCTTTTCTTGACACAGATACTGGAGTGGCTTGCCATTTCCTCCTCCAGCTCATTTTACAGTTGAGGAAATTGAGGTAAACAGGGTTAAGTGACTTGCCCAAGGTCACACAGCCAGTAAGTATCTAAGGCTAGATTTGAACTCAGGAAGATATGTCTTCCTGACTCCAGACCTGGTATTCTATCTACTGTGCTATATGTGCCAATATGTGTCACTTATATTATCCTTATTATTATGGTATCTTCTTGCACTCACTAGCCCTGGCTCTCTCCTGTTGATCCTGTATTCTTAGCCACCCTTTCCAGTATTGATTGCCCTTTAATTCACACCCCTCTCACTCTACTCATTTCCCAAAAGCTATTTTTTCACTCCACTTCAGCTACATAGAAAGAAAGGCACATATTTGGCTTTGCCATCACCCACAAGTGTTTTAGTTCCATAATCATGAACTCCAAAATTCCCTTATTTGATCATAATCTTTTATCATCCTACATTTCCCTCCTCCTTACAACTCCCAACCTTGTTCTTCATCCTCACTGTGACTTTTAACCCCTCCATGCCTCAGTTCTTTCTCAGGCCATTACTCCTGCATTAGCTCTACTTTCTTCCCTTCCCTATCTTGGCACTGGGTAAGTCATTTCAACTATATGCTATCCTTTACACTCAATTCCCTCAGCCCCTTGACCTAGTGCTAATCAGGCTTTGCCAAGACCCAAACTTGGATTACTCCACAAATATACTGCCTTCGTTCCTATTCACAGGCTACTGAAAGTGACTGGGAAAAAGACAAGATCCATGTTAACCGTGTCTAGCACAAATTTATGTTACGTAATCTCACCTGGGCCCTCACTGAGGCAAGATAATCCTCTCACACTTCCCTAACTGATTGGCCATCTCACTCACCTCAGAAGTTTCACCAAAGGACCTCAGACTTAACACTTCACCAAAAAAAATTGAGGCCATGCACCAGGAGCTCTGTTTTCTCTCCTCCTCATCTTACAGCACTCAGATATTTTCCTCCACTGTCTCCTCTTTTACCCTCTCACATGAAAAGGGAGCCTTCCTTTTTGCCAAGGCAAGCTCCTGGTAATGGACCCTTTGTCCTGCTCCACCCCATCTTCTCCAACAGAGTGTCCTCTTTAGTTTCCCCAGGCCCTCATTAATCTTTAACCTCTGTCTACCTGCTACTTCCCTGCTACCTGCAAACATGAAAACATGCTCATGTCTTCCATCTATGCCTTCATTCTTTAAAAAACAAAACAAAACAAAACAAAATCAAAAATCTTTACTTGATCCAACCATCCTCACTAGCTATCATTCTATATCTTTTCTTCCCTTGTTGGCTAAATTCCTTACAAAAACCATCTAAATGCACTACCTCTACTTCCTCTCCTCTCCCTTGATTCTAAACTCTCTATAATCTGCCTACCAGCTTCATCATTTAACAGAAATTGTTCTCTCCAAAGTTAGCAGTGATCTCTTACTTGCCCAATCTAATGGCCTTTCTCTTAATGAGGTCCTTCTGGACCTTTCTCCAGCCTTTGACTCTATCAATCACCCTCTTCCCCTGGATATTCTCACTTCTTTAGCTATTCATGACAGTTATCTCATGGCTTTTCTCCAATCTATCTACACACTCCTCATCAATCTCCTTTGCTGTGTCCAGGTCAGACCCATTAACCATAGATGTCCTCCAAGGGTCTGTCCTCTTCTCCCTCTATACTGTTTTGACTGGTGATCTCATCTGTTCCCATGGGTTCAATGATCATTGACCCCATTTCTATTCAGATCACTTCCAGACCTATATATCCAGCCCTAACCTCTCCTCAGCTCTGGTCTCACATCACCAACTGCCTCTTAGACATCTCAAACTGGATGTTCCACAGGCATCTCAAAACTCATTGAGTCCAAAAAAAGAGCTCATTAACTTTCCCCTCAAACATTTCTATCATCAAAATTCCCCTATTAGCATCAACCAGGCTTGCAACCTCAGTGTCATCCTCAACACCTCACTTGAATTCACCCCACATATCTAAACTGTGCCAAGTCTTGTTTCGATCTTTATGACATCTCTCATATACATCCCTTTCTCTCACTCACACAACTGCCACATTGGCGCAGGCCTTCATAACCTTATACGTGAACTATTACAATAACCTTCTGGGTTGTCTCCCTGCCTCAAGTTTTCACCCACTCCAGTCTATCCTCTAGCCAGCTACCCAAGTGATCTTCCTTAAGTCTACACATGTCAACTCAATAAATTGTAATGGCCTTTCTTTTCTTTCTCTCTTCTCTTCTCATGCCTTGTTGCCCTCCACACACTTTATAGTTTTGCTTTATTTACCCTACTTTATATTAAAATGCTTCCCTTTAAAAGACACTGTTAACAGGACTTTGGGGTAACTGAATTATTGGTGGCAGTATACTGAAGAAATTAACACCTTAAAAAACAAAATAGGTCAAAATGGTAAAAAAGGCACAACAATCCAATGACAAGAAGAATGCCTTAAAAAGCAGAACTGGCTAAATGGAAAAAGATACACAAAAGAGAAGAACTTCTTAAAAAGCAGAATTAATCAAATGGGAAAAGATGTACAAAAATTCACTGAAGAAAAGAATTCCTTAAAAAGCAGAATTGGTCAAATGGAAAAGGAGGTACAAAAGTTCAATGAAGAAAATCTTTAAAAATCAGAATTGGACAACTGGAAGCTAATGATTTTACGAGATATCAAGAAGCAATCAAACAAAATAAAAAAATGAAAAATAGAAGAAAATGTGAAATGTCTCATTGGAAAAACAACTGATTTGGAAAATAGATCAAGGAGAAATAATTTAAGAATTATTGGACTACCTAAAAGCCATTATCAGAAAAAGAACTCAGACATCATC